AATGTCAAATGTTAAATTTTAAAAAGAGACCCATCACAAAACAAACAAAATTACAACTTTTTCATTCCATTTTGTATTTTGATATACAACTGCATTACAAAGATAATGTCATTCTTTTATGGATTTCACTGTTATGCACATAGTAAACATAAATGGATGCCCGAGAATTTCTGTTCTGTAACATTAGTATGACCAGTGAAACAGGTGAAATTGACTACACAGCATAGAGTATAAGATGTGTTCATCTGAATTTTTCCAGTGTTTTAAAAGTTTTCTTTTAATTTGAATTGCTACAACTTCTGAAATTAATCTTTAGTTATTTTGTTTCGTATCATGACTTTGTTTTTGATTGTGTTGGTAAATAGTTTTCATATTTTGTTTTCTTGCTTTAAATTTGTTAAAAAATATATCAAAGTAAAATAGTAATATATTTCTTTATCTTGTCTTCCAACATTGCAGTATTAAATTTTTATATCACCTTAGCTATCTAGTTATTTTTGGAAAGAATTTCTTGGTTTTGTAATTTATGTGTCCCTACCTCTGTTTTTCTATTCAGATGCTGTCTTTAATTCTAATAATGTAGTTTAACATGGGGTAATTGGTCTGGTAGTTAATGTATTAATTATGTAAATTGTAGAGGAGCAGAGGAAGAGTTTGCATATCAGTAGTTCAGATACAATGAAATAGTGACCGTAATGGAAAAGCCAAAGGGAAAACTCTGTTTATGAAAAGAGTGATTTTAAACTGTTAGTTCAATCCATAGTTGGATAAATTGTGAGGGAGGAAGAAGTCACAAAGAACAAAAATGGAATGGTGTCTATATATACCCTTTTTTCCCAGGAGCAGAGTAAACTGACAGTTGAGCTTTAGTTGGGGAAAAGAAAAAAAAAATCAAGATAATTTAAGTTTAAAAAGGTAAAGAGATAGAAAGTGATACAAGTATTTTTCTATGTACTGAAATTTAAAAAAAAATGTGATCAATGAATATTCAAGAAAACATGGAAAATAGGAAAAACTTAAATAATATAAAGATCAATCTCCTAGGATTGCATGATGTGTTTAGTAATTGTATGCCAATGTTTTCTTATTTAGGCTAGTGAAATTTTGCTGTATGAAGTTGCAGCTAGAGAGTTAGATTCTCGACTCACAAAATAGTCAACTTTAAAGAATTCTCAGCTGGTTAACATCAGTCTAAAGGGTTCTATGCGGAGGGGGGGGACAACCAAAAAAACATTGTACATCATCTTCTGGAGTAAAAATGAAAAGTTGTGGAGACAAGGACTTCTTTTTAATACTGGTAGCAAAATAGTAGAAGTGTATTGTGCTTGCCAAGAAAGTAAAGATATTACTACACTGCACAGAAGGTGGAAGCAGACAGGGTTAGTCCACATTTTCACCCACTGTCATGGAATGTTATGTGGCAAACTGGAGTGTCAGAAGATATAAAAATATGTATGCATAGTTTAAAGGATGCTTAAGTTATATAATAAAACTTTCCAAGCACATGTGAGGCTGTTGCATGGAGCCAGTGGATGAAATTTTAGTATTGCAGATTATGAATCAGTAAAATGAATATGTAATATTTAAGAACGTCAGAAACTTTAAAACAGTTGTCTTGATAATGGGGATAATATTTAGATGGAAGATAATGTGTCCAATTAATATACCCAGTTTGGGGTTACAGTATGAAAAGTTCTATACGGGTGATACACACTTCTCTCAACCACTGCTGCAGGTTGATAAAGGCTATATAGAGGTGTAATATGTGATATAGCAAAAATATTTACAGTATAATAAAGGAACACTCTTTTCTTTGATAAGAGTGCAGCGAATCCAAAACTTTCAAGAGGATGAGTGCATACATATTGTGTCCCAAACATATTGTGTTTCTCTAGTAGTTGTGCTGTAATTATATCAGTATGGTAGGATAATATTAACAGAAGCTGATTGCTAGGACTTAAGGTCATATAAAGCTTGAACCTAAGGTTATGGGAGAAATTCATAAGTGAAGTTCTTGCATACTAAGATTAGAAAGCACTGAATTTGAGTCATTCAATAAGTGAGTTTTAATTATGAGGTACAGATTAAATAACAGACTTGTTTAGAATCACAGAGCTACTGATAGAAATGGAATGAGACCTCTGAATGATGTTGTAGCATTCCAGAAATTGTGAGTGATTTCTTTGCTTGAAAACTATGTTGTTCATAAAGGTTGTAGTACTCAGCTGGTTAGACGCAATATGAACTAAATTGTAAATTTCTAGAGGATTGCTACTGTGTCATCTTTCCATTACCATCAGTACTATCTCATAAGTAATTTGTGACCTGTTACTAAGTTGTATGATATATCTGAGAGACTGACATAGAAACACTTTTTGAATCTCGCATATTACTGTGATTTATATAGCACCAATACTCCACAATCTAGTCAATTTCTCTTTTCCTTTAACTTGCAATCTGTTCAGCCCACCAAATAACTTAAAACTTACTGTGTTCCAAAAACTATTAAAGAAACTGTAGACAACATGGATTACAGAAGCCCATAAAACTTGGAGTTATAAAAGGAACACACAAATGTTAATGAATTAGGGGCTGGGGATTTAGCTCAGCGGCATAAGCGCCTGCCTTGCAAGCAGGCAGTCGTGAGTTCGATCCCTGGTACCGATAAAAATGAAAACGAAAAAACAAATGTTAACAAATTAAGCAGTAGTTGCATTGTATCAATTAACTGGATGGATGGATATGTGTGTGTGTGTGTGTGTGTGTGTGTGTGTGTATGAAATTACTAGTTTTATGTATTTATGTATGTTTTAAATGTCACGTGAATTATTTATAATTCATTTTATTTTTCTAAGTTGGGCAAATTTGTTTATTTGGAAGATCCTATTACCACCTTGATCTGTTTAACGTAACAATGTAATTTATTATAGTAATAGTTTTTTTTTGTACCAGCAATCAAACTCTGGACCTTGGGCTTGTCAGGGAGCTGCTGTGCCACTGAGCTGTATCCTTAGTCCTAATAAATTGTTAAGTATTACATTATTCTTTCAGTTTTTGGTGTAAATGCCTTAATGCATTTTTCCCTTAATATGCCTGTAGATTCTATTTATTTTCTACGTATGTTTATAAATAAATTTAATCTGTGATCTTTATAAACCATTATTCTTAGGTCTTTATATTACTGCCTGTGATCTTTATAAACCATTATTCCGATGTCTTTATATTATTGCCAGGTTAACTACATAACAAGAATCGGACAGTTTCTTAAGAAATTTAAGCAATAATACCAAAAATGCTTGACTTGAACTAAAAGATGTATGTGTAATTTTAATTGTATTTTTCTAATGTCCTTTGGTTAACCTAAAGATTCGTTTGATATGGGGATTATTCGGGAAGATTTCATAATAAAGTTAGAAGAATAAAATGAATAAAGAAGAATAACAAGAATAAAATCTTGTCCTTACAGTTAAATGCAAAGTGTTCAATTTTGGTTTTAATTCATTTTATTGGCTGTTTAAACACATCATTTGGTAGGCCCTTGATGAGCAAGTTATTTAAGAAACAAAATGTAAAATGAACAAATAAAATACAATAAAATGAGCATTGCTGTCAGTAAAGCAGAAAATGAACAGGTTTTAAGTGATTAAGATTTTATACTTGTTTAAGAACACCTTTGATCAAGCCTTTTTTGATGTTGGATGTTACTTAACTGAAATTGATTTAAATAAGCAGTTAGGAAAATTAAAAGTGTATACTCATATTTGATAGTTCTTTAATATCCACAACTTCAAATTCCTTTGAAAGGCATATGAAATACACTTTAGAAAGAATTTTTAAAAAAATTTTTAAAGTATGTGGATGCAAGCCTTTTCCCCAAGAAAGGCAAACCTGTAGAGTGAAGATAAATTAGGTGGGCAACAGCTAATCTTAATACCGTAATGGTACCTCTTACTAGATAGTATGTTCCAGTGGCGGTCCATCCTCTGGTACATAGGAGAAGCTTAGTAGTTCTTGAATCCTTAATTCATTTTCTTTATAGGAACTTGGTGCTTTAAAATGTTTCTTTTAAAAAGAAGTATATTTAAGGTCATTGATTTTAGGTATCTGCACTTTCTTGTATTAACATAGTGTAATTTGATTTCCATTACTACCTTTCTCTTGAATCTTCTTCGATTACCAATAAATTTAGTGATCAAATCCAAAGTCTCATCTTTAGCTCTTTAACTTACCATATTTCTGTAATACTTGACACTGTTGATCACCTTAGCTTCTATGACTTCTCTAGTTCCATCTATCTCCATTTCTTGAACTTTTCTTACATTTTGTATGTTAGGTTCTCCTGGGGAAATACAGAAAATTAGACAGGAAAAGCACTAGATAATAAGTGCTTACTTTTCTTACCTTTTGAATGTTGTTTTTTCTTAGAATTCTCTCAGCTCTTCCTTCTTTATTTAACTTCTCTAAGACCTCTCTTCTGTGTTTACCACAAAATTTATTTTTCAAACTTAGATTTCTCTTAAACTGTTGGATGTTTCTTAATATTATGAAGATAACTCGAAGATCTAACAGTGGTCCCTTTTAAATGTCATACAGATAGATTATTTTTGAAGTATAAAAGAGCCTTTAGTGTACATTTTAATAGGTGTTCTTACAATAGTTGGCTATAAAGCCATTGCTTGGAATGACTGTCCTTTTTAAGCATGGAAAAATTAGATAAACTAAGTCCATATTATACTGTTTTAAGAGTTCAGCTCTGAAGTTAATTTCATTAAGATATGTTACTTGGTTGGTATAAATGTGATTGATAGAAATTAAGGCTGTCACTCTGTTAAATGTGAACAATCCACTGAAGAGGTCAATAATTCTTCCCTGGAGTTCTAACATTCACTCTAGTTTTAACACTTCATTGATGACGTTTTCCTGCTTTTTAAAAAAAGTTTTCCTGGACTGGCAAGAATACATTTTTTGTCTAACACATTTAAAATTTTTACTTTTAACAGAAATTAGCAGAGTACGGAAAGACATGTACAATGACACATTAAATGGCAGTACAGAGAAAAGGAGTGCAGAATTGCCTGATGCTGTGGGACCTATTGTTCAGTTACAAGAGAAACTTTATGTGCCTGTAAAAGAATACCCAGATGTAAGTATATTTTGTTGTTTATTCAACTGTGTTTTCCTGCTTCACATACTGTGTGAATAAATTTGGTGGTAAATTTTTAAGTGGTATTACCTGCAATAAAAATTTCATATAAGAAACTAGAAATGTGAATAATTTGATACTGGATAGTTGTTTTTCTTAGTGTGTTTCCATTTGATGCTGTTTTATCACTTTGAAAATGTTCATGGTAAAAACTGTTGGATTTCAAAATGAGTCCTGAAATTGTGGAAAGAACTTTGGCATGGATGTTAAAGAACACAACTTTTGACTCTGCTTACCTTTAATCTGACTTCAGAGAAGTCACAGTTTGGCCACATCATCCTTTCTGTAAAATGAGGATTTTGGACTTTTAAAAGTTCCTTTCAACTCTAAAATTTCCATAAAAGCACTTACTTCTAGTCTAATCCCCCCATCTTATTTCATTGCTCAACTATTCTCTATTATCAATACTCTCCTTTCCTATGCCAGCTGATTTCTAAATAAATCTGAACTCTTTGCTTTTTTGTTACAAAATCCTTCATGGTATGGTGGTCCATGACATCATCTTAAGTAATTGTCCCTCTTCTTTATTGTGGTACGTGATAGGCACATTGACCTTCTTTTGGCTTTTGGCAAAAGTAAAGTGTATTCCTAGCCTTAAAACCTTTTGTGTTAGCTGTACCCTGATCTTTCCTGACTTGTTGTCAATAAGAATTGAGCATAAATGTCAGGTTTCTTTTTTCCCCCTCTGTGATAGCACTTATTATCTAGTGCTTTTCCTGTCTAATTTTCTGTATGTCCCCAGGAGAACCTAACATACATAAAATAAGAACCTTGTCTTTATTATTCAATGTTAAAACCCTCTTAATACTGACACAAGGTAGACTTCCAGGACCTGTTGAATATATACAGTAAAAACGGCTTTTTGTCAGGTTTTGGAGTTTTCTGATTTTAAATGAAAGAAGTGATTGGTATGCTAAAAATAACATGCCAGGTTGAAGTTAGAGGCTTGCTGCAAGTTTAAGATAGCCTAGGCTACATTCAAAGCCAGCCTAAAATTACATAAAAGACCATGTCTCCAAAAAAAAAAAAAAAAGAAAAACATTACTTATATAAACTAATCTGCAGATAGGATTACATATATTAAATTGAATTAATGGGAAAGAAAGCTTTTGATATTTCATGTTTTCTCTTTCCAGTACAGTTGTCTTTAAAGCTTGTACCTTTTTTATATTTCTATACATATTTTTGGTTGCAAATATAGAATCACTTCTGAGTACTATAGGCAAAATGAGAGTTCGTTGGAAGATGATTGGGCAATGTAAACATGAAGTTTTAAAGTACCTCATGTGAAAGATGAGCACTGATTGGTTCTTGGCCTGTCTAAGAATTTAGTCAGCAAGATTTTGTGGCCATTGTCATAGACCCAATATTTACATACTTTGGTATTAATCAATGCCTCCGAGACTTTAAATTTTCAGATTCTTGAAGAAAATATGTTTTGGGCTATTATGTTATGACTATGGAGGCAGTTGTGGTTACCTGTTATAATCGATAAGGGCCCACAATAGCCTCACCCTTGTTCTTGGAATTATTTATAGAGATAGGAAATTGTGATTGGAGCAGCTGTACCAGTTGGAATCTGTACTGGTTTTTTCAGTGTCTTCTACCCATCTGCTTATAAGCAGTAGTCATTAACATGAGCTGTGCAAGATTATGAAACCTTATAATAGAATATACCTGCAGGTCTGTGTGGTTCTGCTTCTTAAAGGGAAAATCCCACTCATGCAATGTATTTATATTATTTAAGAAAATATTTTATAGTCTTCTAAATCAGTGAATCCATAGCATATCCTTCCATCCTATTCCTTCTTTACTAGTTCTGATTTATTGCTTGGTAAGTTTTTTTGTCTTGGTAAGTGTTGGAGTGAAAGATTATTTTCAGTGTTAATGTGTAAATGTTCAAATCTGCCTTGACGCTAGCTAAGTCAGAGACGGGGGTGGGGGGGCTGAAATTCCATCAATCTGACCCACCCACTCCTTTGGTGCTAGGGATTGAACCTAGGAGCTTGCACTTGCTAGGCAAGTGTTCTTATCACTGAATTATACACTTAGCCCTAATCTGCCCATTTATATCATTGTAGGTGATTTTGATATATGCTGAAGTTTGAGAATTGCTTCTGTAATTTTGCTTTTATTATCAAAATGAACTAGGCTAACATCTAGGTCAGGAGTGGCAAATCTATGGCACATGTGTTCTTTTAGGAGAAAGTATGTTGACTCATAAGTTTTTCCTAAACTAGAACCTCAGTGTTCAGGTTTAATTGCAGTGTTGGTATTTTGTGGTAGGTAAGTGGAGATTTGAGTTACAATTTGGGCATTCTTTAAAAAAGTTTTACCATCATGGATCAAGGTGATCATATAAATTACTGCTTTGCTAGGCATTTGTTTCAGGAGGTGTATAGAATGGTGACCTAAATAAATGCCCCTGCTGTTGCAGACAGTAAACAAATAAATCTATACTTTCAGTTATCAATACTGTGGAGAAACAAAGTGGTTAAAACAGATATACTAGACACTGGAGGGGGGGGGATTGTTCAGTTTTAAGGGTTATCAGGAAAGGAATCTCTTATAAAATGGTGAAAATAGAGAATGGCATGAAAATTATCTGTGGGAAAAAGTGTTCTAGGCAAAGTGAAAAGTAAATGTGGCCCCACAGATGTGAGCATTCAAGGAAAGTATGTGGTAAGATGTGAGATTAAAGAGTTAGCAGAGGGGCCTTATCTGTAGTGCCTGTGGGCCCAGTAGAAATTCTCCATATTCTGAATGAAAGGAGAAGCCATTCAAATGTTTTTTGAGCCTAAGAATAATGCAAACTCATTGGAATTTTGATGGATTTATTCTGGCTGTTGTATGGAGAGGCCTAGGATTCTGAGGAAGTAGGGAGACTAGAGAAATTAAAAAATACCTAGATCTAGCTACATGAAGTGACACAAAGCTATTACTCTAGAATTCTGAAAAGCTGAGGCAAGAAGATCACAGTTCAAGCCTAGCCTTTGGGCTTTTTCAAAAGGGTGAGGAAAAAATATAACTCAGTGCAGTTTCTGGTTTAGTCTCCAGTACAGGGTGGTGGGGGGATACAAAGTTTGATTTTTTCATAGATTTTTAAATTAGAGCTGAGAATTTGCTAATGAATGTGGGGTGTTATGTCAAAAGTGACTAAAATTTTGATCAGTAAAAGCAATGAAATTGCCATTTTCCAAAATAGAAAAGATAGAGAGAGAAGCCAGTATGGGAGAGAGAGGCTCAGTAGTTCCGACTTGGAAAATATGGCGCTGAAAGGCAGACAGACATCCAGGTGGATGACAGGCAGGCAGGTGGACCCTTGAGTTTGGGATAACCCTTTTTGACATTCCATGTCTGTGTCACCAAAATGTTTTAAATTAGACATTTATATTTGTAACTCATAAGAGTAGATACCAAACAATTGTATGTAATCTTTTGGATAAGGTTTTTTTTTTTTTTAAACTAAGTTCCTTTGACAAAAGTTTAAGTTTAGCAAAACTGAAATTTGCACAGTTACTAACTGGTTCTTTGAGGCTGTTAATGCAAACTAAGTGGAAATTTTGTGAAATATATGAGCGAAGTTTTATCTTTTAAAAATAAAATAAAACCTAGGGACTCTCAGAGTTTGGCACTGTGGAAAAAGTTTCATTTTAGAATTATGAAAAATTTCAACTACATGATGTGAAATGTACTCTTCTTAGTGATCTTTTCATCACTTGTCTTAATGCTTATTCTGTGTGCTTCCTTTCCTTTCTGTTTGTATGAAAGCGTAATTTTGTGAGTTCTTCTGAAGTTTCAGGTGGGAAATGCAGCATAATGGTCAAAAATATGAACTTAGACCCAGACTGGCTAGCTCTGGTTTGTGTGTGTGTGTGTGTGTGTGTGTGTGTGTGTGTGTGTGACTTTTTTTGACTTTTGGCCAATTATATTTTGTTGCTGGTTTTCAATTTCCTCATCTCTGTAATGGAGATGTAAGTTTCTTTTTATTTTTTGGTCCCAGGGATTGAACTCACGACCAGGCAGGGGCTTATGCTGCTTAGCTAAATCCCTGGTGATACCAAGTGTCTTACAGAGTTATGAAGACCAAATCAATTAATATATGTAAAACACTTGAAAAAAATGTCTTGGTCAGGGATTTAGCTCAGCAGCACAAATTGCCTGCATGAGGTTGTGATTTCGATCTCTAGTACAAAACAAACAAAACAAAGTCTTGATGCTGTATTAAGTGCTGTGGCATGTAAGATCTGCAAGAAGAGAAATCTGTCTCTCTTTTTCAGTGCCATATTCCTAGGGTTTAGAACAACATCTTTTAAACAATAAATGTACAGTAGATATTTGCTGTTAGTGTATTATATGCAACCCTTTCTTTTAAATATTGCTAAACTTTTTTAAAAAGTTGTATTTTGCATTTGTACTTGGCCACTTACAGAAGTTGAATGTAAATTTAAATTTTTGTTTTAAAACTATTGTGTTTCTTTTTTGTGAGGATGGGGATCCAAGCCAGAGCGTTGCACCTGCTAAGCAAGTACTGCACCACTAAGATGGAGATGTGCTTTAGACTTGTCTGTGTAGGACTCTGGGATTGAAAGAAAGCCATGAATTCAGTCTGAAGAAACAGACTATACTCTATTACTTTGCAGTGTTTTTGGATTGTTGGCTTAATATTGTAAAACACATAGGAGAAGCCTCTAAAAATGTACTAATAACTTACAGAATTCATATTTACTAATATTTATATTAAGAAAACAGGTTTTTATTGCATTTTTCTGTTCATCAACCACATTCTGGGAGTGAGAACATGAATCAGTTGCCTAAAACAAAACTATATAGTCAACATACAGATGGTGGATTTTTCAGTCATACAGGTCTAGATTTTGTATACTGTCTGAACTTGTCATCAATTGCTATAGTAATGCCTTTAGTAAAACACCTTATAGCTTAGTAGCTTAAAATAATCACAGCTTATTTCTGTAGTCATATTTATTGACCTTCTATTGGTAGAGAATAAGCTTGGGTTGATCTGGGCTAGTCCTTAATTAGCTTAAATATTTTTCCATTTGTTCCTTCTGGGTGCAAGCTGAAGAAGCAGTGGCTTTACACATATCTTTCATAACAGATCACCAGAATGCCAAAGCCAAGCCAAATTGCATAAAATTAGGTAAGGCTTCTGCTCTATGCATTAGCCTAATAGTTATCAACTGGGAGCTTTTTTGCCTCATGCGACAGTGACAATATTTAAAGATATTCTTTGCTGACAAAGTCTGAGAGAGGAGTATGCATTACTGGTAGGTGGTGCAAGGATTTAGCTAAACATTCTAAAAGTGCAAAGGTCAGTTTATCACAGTGCAGACTTACCTGGTCCAATATATCAATGGTGTTGAGTTCGAGAAACCCCACTTTAGCTATGTTAAGATACTCCATCCATAATGGGAAGGGGACCATAATAAAAGATTTACTGCAAAATAACTGAAATTATCAGCTGATTTTAAGTATGTGTCAGGTTTTGATTCATCGCAAAATTATCTGGAGAGAGATAATGAACAAATGGATGGCATTTGATCGAAAAGACTCAGTATGATTTTTGTGATTATGACTAAGGGAAAAAAATCTGTTCTTAAAGGAGCTCACAGTTTTACATGAAAGACAAAAGACACTGTAATAAACCATGGTCTATTTTACAGTGCTGTAATGACCCATGCATGAAGATTGAAGTTGTGTTTAGATCATCAAACTAATAATTTGGTTAAGTTTTTAAGGGCTTGTTTGAATTCATGGAGATCTTTAAAGGTATGTATAGTTAACTCTGATGCAAGTGAAAAGTGTTTTGAATCAAATGAATCAGTAATAGTTTTGTCTGAAATTTGCCTAGGTATCATCTTTGAGTCGTTAGAACTGTTCTTTAGGATCAGGCAGATAAGGTCCAACAATTGGCATGGTGTACCTGTAATTAGTTATCCTGTATATACTTGAACAGAGTAGATTGCTAAACTGGTTGGTTGGTACATATTTGGATGATTAAAATGTATTGGGACTTTCTCTAAAGGTTTTATGTGATTATGATTTTATGATATTTTTAAAGTGAGTTTTAATTTGTTTTGTGTTGTTTTTTGAGACTGGGTCTTGCTGTGTAGTTCAGACTGGCCTTGAATTTGTTAAGTAACCCAGGCTGGTTTTGAATTTCAAAATGATCCTCTTGGCTCAGTCTCTTAAGAGTGCTGGGATTATAGGTAGGCACCTTCACACTCAGCTAAAATAGGTTTAATTTTGAATAATATTTTTGAAAGGCATCTCTTGGGTCTGGGGCATTGTAATAACCCACTCTCAGAGGTTTATGAGATAGATATCTTTTCAGTTATTTTCCTTCAATTTATAGGATCCCTTATGGCTTGGAGTATACTAAAATTAGTAGTACAGGTTTATAATATTATTCATAATATTCTCTGTAGCCTTGTTTATAATAAGGTTAAATATTCCTAATGGGACGATCCTAGATGCTCCTAAATTTAAAATTTTATGAGATTATTTTCAAATTAAGATGTTCGGCTGGTACAGTTTGTATAAATGTTTCAAAATTCAAAAGTTTAAACTCTGAACTTTGTGGTTGTCTGTTCTTACGCATTTCAAGTAAGGATAGTAAGCCTGTAGCAATCTATTTGAATTGTGGAGTGTGAATAGTAAATTCTCTATTTTCCTGTATTTGCCTATAAAATTTGACTCTTCATAGCTTCTTGAGTTTGCATGGAGTTTTTGGATAGTTTCCTTCTATTTTTTATGATTGTCATCTGCAAGTGGGCTCAGGAAATGGTATTTGTTTTGGAGGGATTATAAGCAGAGGGAGGGGCAGTATGGTTAATTGTCTTTGTTTCTTTGACTCTTGTGTCTTAGTGTGTTAAAGGATTCACCAAAGGCCTTCAGGAGTCTTGAGAAAAATTGTCATCTTTGTTTTTCTCAATAATACGTGGACATGAAATCAAAATTTAGTGATCTGCAAAATCTCATTTCTTAATACCTAGGGTGATCTTTGTCAGGAGATGATACTGATTACCAGTGAAAAATTAGTCTTTTTAAAACAAGATCTGTGGCTTAATTGTACAGAAAGTTAATAGTTTTCTACTGAAGTTAGCACATATTTTTTAGTGAGTAGAGTTGTAAAGTGTTTCAGATTATGTAGTAAACAGTTAGCTTTTAATGTAGCAGTGTGATTTGGTAATATAGAACATGTTTTATGTTTTAAGTGTAGAGGCTATTACTAAGAATTTGAGTCAGGTAAGTTTAATAAAGGTCAGTTTCACGACTTGTTTGTTTTTTCTTTTTAAGTTTAGGCTGGCCTTTTCTACTCACTATATGCAGCACTGGGTAACCTTGAACTTGCAGTGAGTGATACTCTCGCCTGGGATTGCCGGGATTGCCGGGATTGCAGGTGTGCACTACCACTCCTGGCAATAGCTTTTTTTTTTTTTTTTTTTTTTTTTTCTCTCTCTCTCTTTTTTTTTTTTTTTATTTAAGGAGAAAAGAAAAAAAAAGTGAAAGGGTACAAGTTATACAGATTTACAGAAGAAAAAAATGAACAGTAGGAAATCACTAGTTAATGGATTACATATTGCCATCTTAGAAATAATTGTTCAAGTCACAAAATTAAAGCTTGTAGAGTGGACATTCCAACAATGATACTGCAAACAGTTCTGTTCAATGATCCAATAAAACTCTGTGATATCATTTTCTATCTTATACACTTAAATATACATGCAGTTATATAGTTTAGAGCACTTTCTTTTCCTGTCTTTTGTACAATGACTATTACACATTATTTCGCTGTATGGGATTATGTTGAAGGCCTATTAGGAATATGTTTAAGACTTTGGCTTGAGATATACAGAATTTCTTAGAATGACAGTAGATATTCCAGAAAGTTTCAAGGTAGTCTGAAACTGGTACAGTTTCGTTGGATTGTGTTTTTCCAAAGTTTCATGAGCTTCAAAATGAGCTTTTTCAAAAAAGTCTTAAAGCTACAGGCACTTTCTTTTAATATAATGTACTATAATATTTAAAGAGGACTGCTATTCAGAAGAACAATAAAATGATGAAGTTATTTTGGGGGAACAGTTACTTCTAAAAGCAGTTTGTTTCATTTGAGCTACAAAATTTGTCTGTGATTCATTTTCTCCTAAAAGTTTTCTTTTTTTATGTCTACTATGTTTAAAGTATTGCTACAGAGCACTTACTGAGTATCTCACTTCGTGTCTCTACAATCTCACTGACAAAGGCATTGTAATGTAAAAATTGAGAAGACCCTAATGGTTGCTTCTCAGTTCCTAGTAAGCTGGGTCTGGTGGATATCAAGGAAAGGAAAGCTGTTGGTCTGCTGTGTGATTATCTGGGGAGAATTATGTCTCTTGAACTTGTTGAACTTGCCACAAGCAGTTTGTAAACAGAATCTTCCTTATCCTAACTCTTTCTTCCCTAAAATTAGCAAGTATAAAGGACTTTGAAACAGTCAAAGGTTATTCCATTTGTCTCTACCACCCATGTTGAGTTTTTAAATCTGATATGCTTGGAATCAGACATAATTAAGATTTTAAGTTTTTTCCCATATTTTTGAATATTTACATATACCTAATATCTTGCAGTAAGACCCATGTGTGAACATGAAATTCATTTGTTTCAGGTACACACGACATACTCAGTCTGAATTTAGTGGGCCTTTTGAGTGCAGTCTATCTAAATAGATCAGGTGTGGAGTTTTTCCCTAGGCACAAAAATTTGGGGATTTTGAACCCTTCTGGCCTTTTCAATTTACAGGATGCTTAACCTGTAGAAGATAACCTAAATTTGTTTTCCAAGGAAATAAAGTCATTTGTACATTCCTTTGATGCCAGTTTCTGCAGAAATCTTCCTCAGTTAAAAACAAAACACCTGCCTTTATGGTTCATTAGAGACACTGAAATTGAACTTTTCAGAAACTACTTTTGCAACTAAATGTGGTCAATTTTGGAAAACATATTTTATCTCAATTAGCCCAGGCACTTACAACAAAGTAGCTGATAAATGGATCAAGAACTTTCTAAAATCTAGTTTTGATTACCATAGAATATTGATTCCCAAGATTCAGAAGCAGTATGATCAGTAAATAACCTGCCTGTTGTGAAGTGTAAACATTTCTTTATTTCATGTTGACACAATTTTTGGTAAAGAATTTGTTGAGTTTAAAATTCATGCTGTACTGTTTGGATTAAAGGATAACAAGTCCCTAAGCTCTCAATCCCTAGCAATAAAAAAGAAAGGAAGGAATGGAGGGAATGAGGGGAGGAGGAGAGAGAAGGAAGATGGCGGGAGGGAACAAGAGTCTAATGTTATTTTATTTTATAAATGTATGTGTTCTTTACCAAGGGTAATGGCAGGGTATGTGGAAAGACATAGTCTTTGCTCTTGGTGGGATGAGCCATAGCCCATATATGTTACACTGAGGACCTGAAATAGGGCAGTAGCAGTTGAAGTGAATAGAGCAGATTGTATAGTAAAAGTCGTAAGATTTTTTTTTTGTCTAGTACATGTGAAAGCAAAAAATGAGGGAAGGTCTTTGTTTTATAATAGAGGATTTTGTTTTATTAAATAAACAAGGAATATGAGAAGAAGGAAAAAAGAGCTGATAAACTTACTTTGTTAATAGGATTTAATAAGTAAAAGAAACTCTTAAGGTGAGTTGTTCATAACATTATGCAACAATGAACAGAGAAGTTTAGGACTAAAATAGTGCCTCTCATAAAAACCTCATTCTTAGAGTTGCGTAAATACTTTTGGAACATTATTGGAAAGTGATAGTATTTCTGTAGCAATACTTAAGATGTCAGCCATAAGTGCCTTTTTGATCTATGATTAGAAATACTCATTTCATCTGTTATACTCATCTTTAGGGTCAGAGGTGACACAAGCTTAGTCTTTATTCACAAATAATTGCATCCTCTTTCTTTTTTGGTGTTGTATGTATTTGTCATTGAAGTTTGCTGAGAGAACATCACATAGCATCACGTATTTATGTAGTTAAAGTAAGAAGTACTTTAAAAGTAAAGTAAGAAAAACCGTATGATGGTTAAACCAGTGATTCAATGACTCAGTAAGACATGGAAATACAGAAAGGAGAAGATGTAGTTGTCTAAAGTGGTAAAGTTATATGATTGTGATGTATGTGGGCAAGAAATTGTGATGACATAGTTTGACTCATTTTGAAAGTAAACTTTAATCTGAAGAGGGTTTTTATAAATTAATATGAACATTTTGGATGATTATTAATGAGATCACTAAATACGAATTTGTAGAATTCATCAGGGTATATGTGTAAGCTATTTCCAACATAGACATTGTATTAAATGTCTGAACTCTAGTTTGGCTGAGGTGTCCTGGGATTTGGGTTGGTGTGTAATCTCTAGTCTATTAAAAATAAGTGACAGCAATAACACACAGTAGAATTCAGTGACCTAGTGCATATAATGTGCCCAGCATAGAAATTGACTCATGTTTGAATACTTATAATCTGAGATATGTTGAATGACACAGTGCTTACACTGATGATTGTTTAATATTGAAATGGAGAATGAAAATAATAATAATAATCTTGTTTCTAATTTTAACTTTGTTCTTTGAAATAGAATAAGGATCAGCCAAGTTTATTGAGAAATTACTGATTTTATGAGTTTCTGTGCTGTGTATGATTTATTAAGTTCCCCAACTTTATTGAGGTAGTACTGAGATAAAATTGTGTATGTTAAAGATATAACATGATAATTTGTGAAATGATTGCCATTCCCAACTGTAGTGAAGGGTTCCTCCTTTCCATATCCTTGGCAACATTATTTTGTTTTTGATAGTAGTTGTCCTTGAAGGTTTGAAGTGGTATCTGAATTATAGTTTTGATTTGAGTTTTTTCAGTGTTTTGTGATGGTTAATCATTTTTTGATACACTGTTGGAAATTTACATTCTTTGGAAAAAATGTCTTGTTCTTTTAATTTTTTAAAAAAAGTTAAAAATTTTGCTGCTGATTTGTTTTGAGTTGAGTTCATGTCATGATACATTCTGGATATCAACTCTTTAATCAGTTATAGGCTGCAAAGATTTTCTTGTAGTTTGTGGGTTGCACTTCATTTTGTTGATTGTTTCCTTTGTAGTGTGATGCAGACCACTTGTGTATTTCTGCTTTATTGCCTGTGTTTTGTTTATTTAAAAATTCATTGTCAAGACCAATGTCAAACAGCTTTTGAAACTCTTTTCTATCTAACTAAAAGTTACATGGTTTCAGGTCATACATTTGAAGTCTTTAATCTGGATTGACTTAAATTTTAATTAACCAGTGTTATTCTTAAATCCAGTATTCTAAGGTGGGGATTGTGAGTTTCTGATTAGATACCACTACACCAATAAAGTTAGGTATTTACTCTTGATGCCCCTGACAGAATTTGTTGATCATGTATGCATGCCTGTGTTTATTTTTGGGTTTCTGTTGTACTCACTTGGTCTATGTATATGTTTTAATACCAGCCATATTGTTTTTGTTACTGCATTTTTGTGGTGTAGTTTGAAATCATTCACTGTGGTGCCTTTAGTTTTTCTTTTTTCTTAAGATTGTTTTAGCTAGGATATTTTGCTTTTCTGTTTATGTGAAAAATGTCGTTGAAATTTTGAATTGAGATTACGTTGAATTTATGGATTGCATTGAATAGTATGGGAGTTGAGTGGAGTGGAATATTTGCATAGACTTTATTGGTTGCTGTTTCCTAATCAGATGTGTTGTAAAATCTAAAAATTTTTGAATGTCATGTTGGAATTTGTTTTTTTGCTAGGGATGCTTAGTCTGTGTGTGACTACTATGCAGATAGTTAATGTATTGGAATCTCCTTGTGTTGTATGTTGTATGAAGCACTGTGGAATTAAAACAAAAATCAGGACTGGTTCATGCCTTCAGGAAAATAACTTTCAAGAGCCATGTAGATCATTGTAAAGCATGTGAGAGAGGAGTGGAAAATACTCCATAATTTCTTTGATGAAGAGGGGAAATGTGCCTCTAGGAATTAAACTAAACACACAAGGAAATTGCAGAAGGAATACTTGGGACTCATATTGTGGGATGAGGATTTTGTCTTGTTTGGTGGAAAGGAGAAAATATGTTTCTGGAAAAAGAATTAAAAATACCTGCTATTTTTATAGAATACAGTAGTATCTCAGTTCCTGAGCTTAATTCTTTCCACGATATTGATTGCAAACCTAATTGGACAAGAACCAAATCAGATTTCTTTATAAGGACAACTTTGAACCTATTTAATTTGATTTGGTTCTTTTTCAGAATCATGGAATGAACTAAGTTCATGAACCAAAATACCACCCTAGTGAGTTTTATAATGGCTTGACAAAGGGGTATTATGATAAGAAAAGTATAGTTGGAAAGTGCTTTGGGATTTTTCAAAAGTCTTTATGTAAAAAGGTTTTCAGCCATATACTACCACAGATATTGTTATCTTCTTATGTTACAAAACTGTTGACATTCATGTTTTTTTTAAACTTGGTTAAATAATTTTTTTCCCAGTTTTTATTTAGTGTCGACAAATATAATTATCTGTCTTACTCAACCGAGTTCGTTTTGAGTGGTATCAACCTGTTACGTATTTAATATCTTTTTTTTTTTTTTTTTTTGGGTCTTTTTATCGGTACCCGGGATCGAACTCATGACTGCCTGCTTGCAAGGCAGGCCCTTATGCCATTGAGCTAAATCCCCAGCCCCATATTTAATATCGTTTTATTTATTTATTTATTTATTTTGTCTTTTTCTTTTTCGATACTGGGGATCGAACTCACGACTGCCTGCTTGCAAGGCAGGAGCTTATGCCACTGAGCTAAATCCTCAGCCCCCATATTTAATATCTTTACTAAAAGAAAACTTGATATAATTTAGGATACCTTATTCACGTGGCACAATTTTAGGTTTTGTTTATAACTCCATGCAATTTTTTTTTTTTTTTTTTGGTACCAGGGATAAAATTTACAACCTCATGTTTGCCAGGCAAGAGCATAAACCACTGAGCTAAATCCCCAGCCCCATGCTAATTTCTTTGTTGCAAATAGTGTTCCTGCCTTTACTTACCTTTACTTACATAGTTTTGTGAGAAACTTTTTCTTATATAGCACTTACAATTTATGTACCAAAACCCCAAATGTTTTAAAAGGGCTAAATACAAAAGATTTTTTGAAATGGGATCCTGTAGTAACTGTGCAACATGAAGTTGTTATTTCTGAAGGAAATAAACACAAATAGTCACTTGTATTGACTAGATTAAAGGTTGTCCGTTTTTTTGGGTCACGTACTAAGTGAAAGGCTTCATTAAACACACACTTCGGTGTGTTTAATATATACTGTAATATTTATGTGACATAAACTTTGTAAAATATGTAACTAAAATCAAGCTAGAAATAATAGACTAAGTTTAAAAGTAGATCATCAGTCTCATTTAAAGATCATTCCAAAAAAGTGCATATTCCTTAATAATTTTTTTAATTCCAAAATTTTAAGCAGAGAGTATTCAGTTTATAAGTGTCTTACTGAGGTGCATTTGGAAGTCCACTTTTTATTCTTGATTTTGATACTGTGTCACAGGAGGTTTAATCTTTAATTGTAGAATTCTTGAAAGGTTAATGGAAAGATTTATTTTTCATAAATTACGTTTTACCACTGGAGAAAGCTATCACTTCTATTAAAAATGTCATAGGCAGCAGTGAGTAATACTAGACATGATTGCTGTTAAACCCTTTGGAAATTAACATGCCACTTGGCAGAAATATAATTGGTGAGCTGCAGAAAGGTCTGGACTTAAATAGGAGGGGTTAATGAATGTCTTTTTTCTGTCCTTCCTTTCTTTCTTTCTTCCTTTTTCTTCTTTTGGCTTTTAAAATTGCACTTAGCTCTGGCTGTTTGAAATGATTTTCTTTGAAAGTGTTGTGACATTGTTTTAATTGAATAAAGCTGCAGAACTGGCATGATGAATCAACATAGAATGAATTTTAATGCAAGGCAAAGGATATTAACTTGGAAATTGGTTGCAGAAGACAAAGTAGCTGCTATGATTAATTGTTTTTTTATTCTGTCCTTACTATATTTTGAGAAGGATGACCTTGGCATTTCCGATTGCATTAGAATCCAGTGGTATGCACTTTAGCATACTTAAATTGTTTGTTGTTTCTTGGGCAGTAGCAGTTGGTTTTTAAGATTAAGAAAATTTCATATTTTGGTTTTGTCTACTTTAAAAACATTTTTAATTAATAAATAATAATTGTAAGAATTAATTAGCTGTGGTAGAAGTAGTCTCCATGTAATGTTGATGCTGTGATTTCAGCAGCAGAGGTTTAATATGTGAAAAGAGCAAGATGTGCCAAAGAGGGCCTCTGAGTGGTCATAAAGTGTAAACCAACTGGTTTTATAATTTGGGAGAAAACTATCACTTTCTGTTAAAAATATTATCACAAGCAGCAGTGAGTAGCACTAGACATGATCATTGTTAAATGCTTTGGAGATTAGCGTGGCACTTGACAATAGATGCGGGTCAAAATCAGTTGCATATATTCAGTGACTAAAGTATCTTTTACAGTGCATTTTCCAGGTCCTTTTGGAGGCAACATATTTTAAATATTTGATGTTATGTCTAGCATATGAGTTGATTTGGAAAGCAGTTTGTATAGAGTATCAATATTATTGAAGAGTATCTGGTAGACTTGCTTAAGAAATAGTTAGATACAGGCAAGCAAATAGAAGGGAAGCATTTTCACATATTCTCAAGACCAGGGAGAGTTTTTGTTTTAAATTCCTGACAAGTATTTCATTCCTTACCACCAAGCCTTGAATAAATGTTTTGAGTTGAATTTAAAAATGAAAGGCTATTCATTCTCCATTTCACTGAAAGATAGGAAAGCTAAACAAAATACATAGTAATATACAGAGATTGTCTGTCTCCAGGTTGATTTGGGGGAACTGGTAGAGAAGTTTTAAAGAGCCCCAGACTATATAAACAAGCTAGATTAAGAAGTTTTAGAAAAGCTTGGCGATGTTACTGAAGATGAGCTTGGGACCAGGCACAATGAGATTTTTTTGCCTTCCCTTCAGGCCTTCCTTCCAGTACCTATGTGCAGTCTGAAGCTGTGTTAATGCTCTGTTTAGATTAAAAGACAGCTTCTTAAAAAGTGCCAGTGAATTTTGTGTCATTTAGGACAATAATTTGGGCCAACTGAGTACATCTAGTGAAATAGGACATAATGCTGTTACCCAGACCCCACAAGAATGTATCAGATAACTAATTTAGGATTCTTGAGAAGTTAGATAATCAAAGATGTGAGCTTGATTTTTGGAATGTCTTTTTCCTTTTTGATATGTTTGTTGAATCCCGAGAGGCTAGATGATCATAAGCTTTGGACAACAGAAATTGTACTCTATAATCTATAGACTGCCCCTCTTTCCATGCTTTACAAAATTTAAGTAGGATCACTGATGTGTATGTACTGCAGGAGTAATTTTCTACCCAGAATGTCCCTAATCCTAACAGAACTGCCTTGACCAAAAATTGTCTTAATGAGTGAAATAGTATTGAGGTTGTCTTTGGTTGCTAATAACTAACCATAGATGTGTGGCAGAAGCTAACGTATATCTTCTCTGGAGGAAGGTAAAATATCTTAACCCTTAATGTATTTCTGTAAGTCATTTATTAACTATATTGTCTTGCACACACTATAGTACAACTGTTCAGGGACACAGGATGACATTTACAAAGACTGAAGAAATAAAAAAGAGCTCCATGGAAACTATAGATACTAGGATTATCATATTTACATTTTGTAACTTTATGGAGACAAAAGACAGCAAAGGTGTGGAAATTATAAGAAAGATTATCAGTTCCAACAGTTGGATTTGACAGATTTAGAATATTTGAAGAAAATTAGTGAACTAGAATATAGTTCATAAGAAAAATCCTTAAGTGTCAAGAGGCATAGGGATGGAAAACCCAGTAGAGACAAAGAGTAAAGTAAATATGGTATGCAAATATGTTCACAGCACTAAAAAGAGTGGTAAAATAGGACAGAAGTGGAGTTTGATGTATGTGGTTGAGATATTTAAAAATTAAGAGCATCAAAGTCATTAACTGCACCCTAGTATTGGTAACTGAAGAAAATCACACCTGGGCACATTGTATTTAAAAACTGAAAGCTAGCAAAGAAAAGGGAATCTTAAAAGCAAACAGAAACAAGAAAAGATTGCTTTTCTAGGAGCAGTAGTAAAACTCACAGCTCACTTCTCAGAAGTAATAGTAGAATCTGGAAGATGGCATCTTTAAGGTGGTGCAGGAAAATGATCATTGAGCTAGATTTCCCTGGCCACTGAAAATCCGACATTTTCGTATCAGGAAACACTAAAGAATATCTTTCTGGTAGAAGAAAAATTTTCTAGTTACCTAGAAAATTGAGCATGCAAATAAGATATAGAAATGGTAGATATGTTGGTTACTTTAAATGCATTTTATTTGTATGAAGTGTTAATATCCTATTGAGTAAAAAATAAGGCAGCATTTGAAAAATAAGGACATATAAATCAGATTGGGGATAAATGAGTTATGAGGTCTATAGAAAATGAGTAAAAGTACAAATTAATGTTTTAAAGCGTGTTTTAACTTATGGGTAAACAAATGTGACTTTCAAGATACAATAGAAAGGAGATAAGAAAACACACTTGTGTGTCAACCCCCCCAACAAACACACAGACACACACACACACACACACACACACACACACACACACACGTCAAGAATGTAAAAGATGTCAAGAAAGTAAAAGAACATAAAAGAATTAAGACATATAGAAATATAAATGGACTAATACAAATTTCAAAGTTTGACAGGTTGAATAAAAAAATGAAATTCATTTAGTTGCTTTAAAATATATAGATAAAAAATAGAAAATAATAAGTAACCAAATAGATACAATAAAACATCAAAAATTTATATTTCCATATTAATATTTTAATACATAAAGATAAAAGTCATTACTGAAAATAAAGAGGGCCATTTTATAATGGAAGAAAGATAACATTTTTCATTTGTACATGTAAAATAACATAACTCTCTAAACATATAAAGTAAAAATAGAAATGAAAGGACAAATGATACTTGTAGAGTGCTTGTCTAAAATGAAGAAGACACTAGTTGGGCCCCTAGTATTGCAGAAACAGCTGACTTAATCATTGTTAGTTTGCATTCTTTTCAAGTACCCACAGAAAATTTATGAAAATTGGTTATATCTTGGGCTAATCTGAAAAGTATTAAAGGACTAATATTTTAGATACTATATTTTCTGATTACAGTGTAGAAAACTAGAAGTTGAAATTAATATTCTTATAGAAGTTGAAATTAACATTCTTATTCTTGAAGTGAGAAAAATAAATTTAAATACCCAGTAGCATCTAATTATTTTTACCTGAATTGTAATGAAAATGCTGCCCTTCAAAACTTGTGGGGTATAGCTAAAAATTGTACAGATATATGTATTATGTCTTTAAATGTATATTGTGTTTTAAAAAGGATACAGTAAACCATCCACTTCAAAAAAGTTGGAAAAACAGTCAGATTAAACCTGAAGAAAGTAAAAGGAATAAAAGGCAGCTATGAATCAATACAAATGAATGTAAGCTCAAGAGAATGGTATAAGTAAGGACAGACAACTAATCAGGAGTGAAACATGGGCATCACTACAAATCTTACAGATACTAAAAAGAAAAGGAGTCAAACTAAGTAAAAAAATTTGAAAATTTTGATGGTATGGACATTTTTCTAGGTAGACACAGTGTATCAAATGGACGATACCAGGGCTGGGGATTTCGCTCAGTGGCATAAGAGTTTGATCCCTGGTACCAGTTTAAAAAAAAAAAAAATTGATCATACCAAGGAATAGAAAATTATGCCTTATACTGATTCCATATTTAAAATTTTCCACACAGGAACTCTGGGGCTGGATGGCATTCCAGCACATTTACTCAATACTAATAAATAAAACCAGTTGTATGCCAGCTCATTTAAGAGTAGAAAAAGAGGGACTACATACTGTTTTGAAAACAATACCTTTGTTGAGAATAGTGTTATGAGAGAGGGAAATTGTAGGCCAGCTTTACTAATCAACGTACATTTTTAGAAAAAAAAAATCAAAATGCTGGGAAACTTCAGCAATTTACAAAGCGCATAATGCCTCACAAGTTAAATTTATATTTGGAATACCGTAATATATTAAAGGTTGCTTTAACATTTGACAGTTGTAAGTCACTATAATCTAGAAAAGGCATCCATATAAAAATACCTACAGATTACTAAATAGTTCACAATGAATTATTGTAAGTATTTTTAAAATGTGGAACAGATCAAAGATGGCGGGATTTTTTTTTTTTTTTTTTTTGGTTACAGGGATTGAACTCATAATCTCCCACTTGCCCTATAGGCTCTGTGCCACTGAGCTGTATCTCTGACCCTAAAATGATACCTTTTTATGTGGTTTTGATTGTAAGATATGCTGGCTAGTGTTACGAATAACAAGAAGAAATGAAAATTGCATAAAATAGACTTCCGGGAGAACATGGCGGACAGATAGCAGATACTACGGAGGCTCTCTGAAAGGCTTGGTTCAGAAGTCAGGAATGGTGCGGACTAAGGAGACATAAGCTGGTAGAGATATGCTCTGCTGACTCAGGAACGAACTGGGCTGAGAGAAACCAACTTGGAATGCAGTCCTGGTGCTAAAACAGGAACAGAAAAGTCTTGGTGTGGAGGCTGGACCCTGCGCCATTGGAAGGCGCGATTTTGGTTTCCCGCCCCGCAGTGACTGCCTCTACAGCGGCTCGGCAAGGAGAGAGACGCGCAGAAGCTCTGAGAACGGGAGTCTGCGAACGGAGTCGAAAACAGGACGGGCAGGGAGGCGTACACTGACTTGTGGTGAGGTGAGTGAGAGAAACTGACACTCTACCACAGTTTGACTCCAGCGGAGAACTTTCTGGGCCCGAGCAGTCCTGCGGGAGCAGGGCGCGGGGGCAACTCCAGCAACACACTCCCCTCTCGGACGGGATTGGTGAAAAGTGCCTGGCCTGCGTGATGCTGCTGGCGGACCTGGTAGGCTGGCCAACCCAGATCCCAGAGCCTGACGGTGGCCCGGAGGGGCGACTCCCGTGTAGGCTGCCTAATCCGTAACTCCCTGGTGCGCTGCGGTGGGCGGGAACACCTAGCCAGCGCAATTCGATCAGGCTGTGGCTGACAGGGAGGGAAGCTGGGCCTCCTATGTAAGCTTGCATATATAAGGAACAGAGAATATGGGAAAAGGCAGCAACAAGAAAGGCTCCTTGGCCCCCAATTCTGAGAAACAGGCAATAGCGGACACCGCACCAATAGACATAAAGCGCCATATAGAGAGCCTCATAGACCAATTCAGGAATGAAGTTATCAACGACCTGAAGCTAGAAGTATGCAGAATAGTTAGAGAAATGCTAAGCACCACCCAGGAAAAAACAGATGGTGGAATGGAAGAACAGAAAAAGAGGGGAGAATTGTTTGATGGAGAAAACAGAGAAAGCATAGAGTACGTGAAGCAGGTTTAAAGGGACTATCAAGAAATTAAGAAGTCTATCCAAGATTGGCATAACAGCTTGAAAGAAACTAAGGACAGACTATCTGAGCTGGAGGGCAGACTTGTAATATGGGAGAATGAAATGAAAAACTTCTTAAAAATAACAAAGAAACAAACAGCAATAATACAAAGACAAGAAGATGATAAGAGGAGCCATAACTTAAGGATTAAGAACATAAAAGAAGAAGTAGGGACACAAACAAGTGAACTACAAAAGCTACTCACAGAAATAATCCAGGAGAATTTTCCTAATTTAGCAAAAGGTAAAGATACTCAGATGTACGAGGCATACAGGACCCCAGCTACCTACAACCCTAACAGAGAAACACCCAGGCATATAATAATAAAAATTCCAGAAATTCAATACAAGAACAGAATATTAAAGCTGTAAGAGACAAGAAACAGACCACTTACAAGGGAACACCCATCAGAATTACAGCAGATTTCTCTGCACAAACCATCAAATCACGAAGAGCGTGGGGGGAAATAATTCAAGCTTTGAAAGATAATAATCTCCAGCCAAGATTGAGATATCCTGCACAACTGTCCCTGGAAATTGATGGAAAAACAAGGTGCTTTCAGGATAAAGAGGAACTGGGGGAATTTGCAACCACCAATTCAACCCTACAGAAAGTATTGCAGGATATTCTAAAAAAAGAAAAATACAAAGAACCCAGAAATGGTGGCGGGGAAGCCACAATGAATGGAGCAGAGAACAAAATGAAGAAGACAAACTGACAGCTACTGACAGAAAAAGAGCTCAACAGAAATGAGACAGAGAAGATTGGATGATAGGAACAGCTATTTTAGAGAAAATGACATCTTAATAGGTAATACTGATTTAGTATCATCTTGTTTTGAAATCTCATCTAGCTTTTGTTCTTCTGTCTCCAGTGGTCTTAATAGGTTGTCTTATTGGATTTTATTCTGTACGATAGTATAAGCAAAAACCTTTTAAAGACAAGGAGATTATACAGAAACCATTGTTCATTTTCTGTTAGTCGATTCTAAATACTCTGTAATGCTGTCATTCTTTTAAATGGTTTTACATTGTTTTGATATACTTAATGCTACAGTATACGAAGTTGTACTCAAGGACTTCAAGGAAAGAGTCAATATGGTAACTACTTTTGGGTCGGAATTATCTGGTGGTGAAACACTATTCTGCTTAAATGGTTATGTTTTGACCTGCGCTGTTTCGCTGTTATGCCCTCTTTTATCTCAATCTCCACTCCATTATTTACTTTTTTATTTTTATCCGTTTAATTAAAGGGAAAAAATAGTAGGATATATTATAGTAACCCACTTTGACTTTCTATTATCTCGATTTGAAGCCCTGTATTACTCTCACCATCTTGTTTTTGACTGATGTTCCCCTATTCTGTTTTGCTGGATAGTATCAGGTTCGAAAGTTTAGGCATCAGCTGTGAAGATAATGAGATTCATTATAACGCCCATTCTCGTTGACTTTTATCTACTTTTGAAGACCTACAATGTCTCCAATGGTTTGGTTTTGTCGATTTTGTTCTTTACTGTTTTGTTCAATTGTATTATAACTAATGATATAGGCAATTCTATTAGAGATAGCGGGAGACATTATGGTAACCATTGTTGATCACCTTGTATTATGTTTTTACATTATCTATTATGTCCACCCTTTTGACTTGACCGATTTTGTTCTGTTATGTCACATTTGGTTTTACTCTCTTCCAAAAAAGCAATAAGAACCGTGGGAGCAATGAAACCCAAAATGTGTAATAGTCATTGTACAAAAGAGAGGAAAACAAAGTGCTCTAAACTACATAACTGCATGTATATTTAAGTGTATAAGATAGAAAATGATATCACAGAGTTTTATTGGATCATTGAACAGAACTGTTTGCAGTATCATTGTTGGAATGTCCACTCTACAAGCTTTAATTTTGTGACTTGAACAATTAGTTCTAAGATGGCAATATGTAATCCATTAACTAATGATTTCCTACTGTTCATTTTTTTTCTTCTGTAAATCTGTATAACTTGTACCCTTTCACTGTTTTTTTTCTTTTCTCCTTAAATAAAATTAAAAAACAAAAGAAAGAAAATTGCATAAAATAATAGAAGTGTTATTATTTACCAGTGATACATTGTTTTGTGAATCTCAACTTGGAATTAAAGAAAGTTGCATGAAAATCTCCTGGTAGGGGTGGAGGAGTGACTCCTTTTCTCAAAGGATAAATGTGTACCACCCACCTTTTCGTATGAGTATCACATTTCTGATATGTGACAATGTAGGTGTGCCACTTTGTGAGGCAGGGCCAGAGCCATTGGAGTACAGGGGTTGAAGGAAGTACCTAGTTTATGTCTTCATAAAAGTGGACTTTCTAGCCTTTAATTTTTACATAGTATGATACACTAACAGTAAGGTAAATTGAGTACAAGAAAAGGTAGGAAGCTTTAAGGGTAAGAATTACACTTATTTGGTTAAATAAATAAGTGAAAATCACTCATGGATTTCTGTGGGACTGATGATAGGCCCTCATACCTTGTTTTTTTATGCAGATGATGTGGGAATGCAGAAAAATACACTTCTTAGTATTGGAAGTTAGGCTATTCTTCCTGTTGGCCTCTAAAAATAGTTGTACTATATATGAATACTCGAAGTTTCTGTTGAGGAATGGTAGATTTTCATTTACATTGTTATATATATCAGTCCTACTCATGGAAAGAAAGAGTTTGGATGTGTGCAAAAATAGAAGTGTGAGTTAAAGATAGAAGTGGAACAGTGAGAGAAAAATAAAAATGCAAATATAAAATTGTTTAGGAAATATGAAAAATGTATACATACAGCCAAGATTTAACATTTAGTATAAAGTGGAACCTAGGTTTTTAACTTTTGCTTTAATAACCAACTCAGAATTATAACTTTCCTAGTTAAAAATAAAACAATTTCTTCCTGAGAATTTCTCCTAAGAGAACAATCGTTATTTATCCTAATTAACAATTTCCTCAGCATTGTGATTTGGAGGAGATAGTCAAATATTTTGTAGGAAGGATTTACATTCTTAGATGGTGTTTAATATTTTATCCTTATGTATGCTGGTCTGTGTTACACATAGGTGGATATTTCAGTATACTGAGTTAAATAAGTTATTCCCAAACTTGGCAAGAATTTATTTCTACTTTACATTTAAAAATTGTTTAATTTGAGTGTATATACAGTTTGCTTGAAAGTCATTGTAAGAGCTATAAATTGCAACAAGTGAATAATTTATGACTTTTTCCTCCTCAGTTTAATTTTGTTGGGAGAATCCTTGGACCGAGAGGACTTACTGCTAAACAGCTTGAAGCAGAAACTGGATGTAAAATAATGGTCCGAGGTAAAGGCTCAATGAGGGATAAAAAGAAGGTAAGCCTCGAAAATAAAACTAGTCTTCATGTAAATAATTAACTCAGGCTTTTGTGTCCTTCTGCATTCTAGACCTTTTAGGCATGAAGCTGGCCAAATTATAAGCTTAGAAACATTTTTAAAATGTTGTCCTGATTTTTCTGCAAGTTAATGACTATTTTTCATTTGAGAATTGCAAAGTATCAGTTACTCCATCTTGTTAACTTTGGTATTCACACTTAAAAAGCTGCCTCTTGGAAATAAACTATCATATTATTATCAATAAAAATGTGCAGCTGAAAGCTTGAAAATCTAACATATTTCTTTTGACAAGATATATATGAAATCATTCAAATGAATGGCTATATGAAATCATATGTTGTCATTAGAAAGATAAAATTTGCCTAGTTTTTTATTTGGGTAAAAATGACTGATTTAAAAACCAAAAAGCTAGATTTTCATTGCCACGGGTTAAAATTATTAAAAAGAATGATTTTTTAAAGATGTATTATAAGGTCTATCAAGTGATAGATCTGTGCTGTGTTAGAGCAAGTGCATTCAATCACTTTGAGGTGCTTAGGAAACAACATCAAACCAACAAGGGATCCCACCTTCATTCTTTGTGGTTGTTTTCTGAGCACGCCATCTAACTTCAGCTGAACTCTCTCAGTGAGCTGACTGGCTCACTTGCTAGCTCACTCTTATTACTCCCTGTGGACAAATGACTTGGCAATTAAGAAGTTTAAAGAAAAAGCGCCTACTTACATTAGCTATCTTTCATTTTTATAGTTTTTCTTTCAGTTGAATTTAAAGATATTTTCAGTTCTTCTTGACCATTTTTAGACATTCTTCTTAAATATAGGAATCTTAAGAACATTCAAAATCAGTTGGTTAGCATTCCTCTCAATTGAATATTGCCATGAAATTTTGGTTCCTGTGTTGGGACTGATAGCAGTGGCATTTTAAGTAGCATCACTGTAATTGCCTCAAGGACATTTGTGGAAGTTTCAGCTCCTGAAGATCAATTTTCACTAGAATATTAGCATATGTCCATTAGTTAAGTTATCCTATCAGTGAAGATATTATTTCTCTCTCTCAAGCTCCTGTTAATAGAGAAGTAGTGGCCTTCTGCTCATTTCTGTCACATAGCACTCACAAAGATTAGAGCTTGGATTGTGTTGTTAACTGAAAGAAGAACATTTTCTTCTGTCTTTGACAGAAGAATAGGGTGAATAACAGGGAGCTCTGCCACCAGATTGCTTAAGTTTGAATCTTCATTTTGTCATATAACAGCTTTTTGACCTTGGGTGAATAACTTGAATTTCTTAGTGCTATGTAAAATGGGAGTGGTAATGTCACATAATCTTTTTTAGTTGTTGTGAGAGTTTGTTTTAAAGCCCTTATTAGAGTAGACAGGCATAATAGTCACTGTGATGATTCTTGATATCGTTTGTCTTAAACTGTAAGGTAGTATATTGTATTTTTATAGTTTTAAGTGGTGGTACTATGAGGGAATGCTACATTTTTTTCTTTCCTAGATTTTGAAATGGTAAATAATTTCCCATTTTCTGACATTTGAATATCTTGTTGTGGCATCTTGTGTTTGTTTCCTCAGTGCTTAGTGCATCCAAGTTCTGTGTTTGACTTGGTTCTTAACACAGTGGAAACAGTTCACACATTTTATTTTCTATTATTGTCTGCTGAAATACCATATTACAGATTATATGTAATGCAAGAAAATAATAAGAACTAGAAGATCAGCTTTAGTTTTCCAGTACTGTATAATTTTATTAAAATACTAAAGATTTCTGAGTATAATGACCTACACCTGTAATCCCAGCACTTGTGAGGCTGAAGCAAAAAGGATTGTGAATTTGAGCCCAGCCTGGGCAATTAAGTGAGACAGTAAAGTTTACAGAGGGCTAAAGATACAACTCAGTGCAAAGGCCCTGAGCTCAGTCCCCATTACGATAATCAAAAAACTCTTTAACATGTGCTGACATCTGACACTAACTTGAATGGCTTCTCTGTGTTTGATATTATCCTGTGTGAATTTTGTGAAGAATTTATATATAGATTTATAACACAAAGTATGTCTTCTATAATCTTAATTAAAATGTGTGGCACACAGTAAGTTGTAAATCATATCCTCTTGGTTTATGGTGATATCAGTTACTCTGATATTTTCTTAAAATTGTGAATAGTAAAAATAAGGTCAAGTTATATTACTGCTTGGCTGTTTTTATTTTATTTTATTTTATTTTGGCTATTTTTAATAAAGAACATGACTAACAGAAAAATGAATACTGATATTAAAAAGGCTGATTGAAATGTGTTTAAAGAGAAAACAGGGAAGCCATTGGGCTATAAGATTTCTGCATAGTTATTAGTATTTGTTAAAACTAAGAAAGCTAAAAAATAAACCTTAATTTACTAGTTTCTTAATTTACAAAAATATTATGATGAAATATTGTTTACTGGTTGAATTATTTACTAGACTGTTGTTGGGAGGTTGAAACTGGAAATTGAACACACAATTGGCTGCTGCATGGCCAAGGCGCAAGATAAGATCATGGCTTCAACTCCAGTTAACTAAATAAAAAGACTTTAGGGCTGGGGATTTAGCTCAGTGGCATAAGCACCTGCCTGGCAAGCACAAGATGGTGAGTTTGATCTCCGATACCAAAAAAAAAAAGACTGTAGCTACAGACATTTCAACCCACAGTGAAATGCAACATGGAGATCTTCTCCTAAAATACTTCTCCTTGTTAACTTAATTTCTTACTTGCAAAGTCCTTGAACCACTTCCAAGTTTAGATTCCTGTGTTGTTTGAAAAAAAAATAATAAATGTAGGCTGCCCAGAGGGCATTCTCTGTCTTAGCCACCAGAGTCCCAAAACTCTGTAGAGGGTTTTAATCCTCCTGGAGCCCTAAAATCATACCCCTTATCTAATTTATTTTAAGCCTTCATTGTACACTCATTTGGGAGATGGGGGATCTAGACCAGGTCCCCGATAGACGGTTGAACTCTGAATAGACTGTCTTCTAAGGCACTTTCTTGTTTGTGGTATAGTTGACAGTAGGAGAAAATATCTGTGAAAAGAATGATCCCTTAGTTCTGGAATGGAACGGAAGGAGCATAGATATACCCCTCTCCCTTTTAAGTTTTGGCAAATAGAGAAAATTGTAAACGTCTGTGCTTTTAATCCTTTTGGAAAGGCCAAAATACTGTATTTTAAACTACTTGCTTTAAACAAGTAAATTAATATGCTGCCTTAAGTTTTATTCCCTTGGATTGGTATGAGTTCAACATTCTCATGACCTTACTAGTATTATTTTTTTTTTAACCTAAATACCCGGGGGAATGAGAATAGGTAGTTTGTGAAGGCAGAAATTTCATTCAGAAACCACAAGAAGCAGGCTGTGTGTGATAAAGTCATAGGTTCGAAGTCATAGGTTCTTTCTCACCTTCTTTGATTAGAAGTATTGATGTATGAAATGTCTACAGATGATTAAAGCCAGGATAGTCAATTGTGTTTTCTGGAACTTTGCACAGACTTAGCAATTCTAGTTAGAGCATGTTGCTCCAAGTAAAGAGATGTGCACACTGGGGGTCATACATGCGTTCTGGGACTGCTTGTAATAGTGGTAAGGTGGGGTTGACCACCTGTACCATCTGCAGAACCTGATTCAGACCATGCAACAACCTTGAGAGATGATTATATTGTCCTCACAGGAATGAAAACTTAAAGGCATGCAATAATCTTTTCAGTCTTGTATTTCTAACTAAATAGAAACCTAGGTATCTTACTGGACTTTTCGATTACTTGAACTACAAGTCCTTTTCTTTAGAATGTCGTTTTTAAATTTAAAATCATACATGTTGGTAAAAATCTCAATTTTGTTCTTAAATTTTAACATTCACCTTTCTTTTTTCCTTCCTTTATTTATTTATTTTGTCATTTTGAGACAGGGTCATACTATGTGGTTTAGGTTGGCCTTGGGCTCACTTTGTAGCTCAAACTGGTATTAAACTTGTAATGATCCTCCTGCCTCAGCCTCCACAGTGTGCCACCACACTTGGCTTAACACTCGGTTTTCATACGCATTTGCCCATAGTCTAATTTTTTTAAGAGGTGTATCTATAAATTACTTACGACACATTTTATGGAGGCATATTGTGCAGTGACAGTCAGGTGGAATCTTGCATTCTGTCATTTTGTAGTTCATTTTGTAGAGATAATATTAGTTTTTCAAGCTACTCTTCATTATACAATTTTTATCCTGTAGCAGAATTTTCTTAGCCTCATTTTATATGCATAAAGTATATTAATTACCTTGTCAATATGTGATACTTTTAGAAGAATTAGAAAGTTCCAGATGTCTGAAGAAATTAAGGGCAACTGAAGTATTATTCCAGAGACTACCTTGTTTGATAGTTCCAGATTGTCTTCTAGATAGGCATGCCCAACCTGGAGCCCATGGGCTGCTATGTGACTCCAGAGAGTATTGTAGCCCCTTTTAGTGCTGTTTTTCATGACTTGATTGCATGGTGCTGGAATGCAGACCATGTATATTAATAGTAGAAAGCTGTGTTGGGGAGATATAGCATGCCTTGTATAACTTTGGGGAATAAAACATATTGATTACCAATAATAATATTTCAGACCTACTTGCGTATATGCTTGTGAAGATAGTTGTTTATTATTCCTTAGCCAGCACGGGACTTCCTTATTTAATTATTAAACTTGGGCGTGTATATTTTGCCAAATAGTTTAAGATATAAAAACAAAAAAATTTATTTGTATAGATTAGATGTATTATGTAGCCCAGGCAAGTTAAAAGGTTGGACAGCATATTTTTTACATTATGGGGTTACCTAAGTTTTGTACAAAATATGTGGTGTTATACAGGCTGCTTTTTAGGCAGTATTTTGTCACTCAACTTGAGACTTCACCAAATGGTTGAGCTTTTATGTCTAATAAGACTATGCTGGGGATTAGGAAAGTATATTTATAGGA